TTGAAATGTTTAAAAACTAAAATTTATTCAATTTAAAGATCTAAGTAGAGGATAAATGATAAGTGTTTAATTGTGAAAGATGATTGTGACATCTCACGTCACTACGGATTGGGTTTTAAACCAATCATTTAATGATTGGTCAATTCCCCTTTAAAAATATTTAAAGAAGATCCCCTAAAATAAAAGATTGTTAAAACAAGTAACTCTTTTAAATATTTAACACATGAACAGTCCTTGAACTATACAAGGAACATTATAACACATACAACCCAATACACAGGATGTGGCAATCTGATAATTTAATCAACAACATAATAGAATACAACCACGAATTATTTAATCATTCAGGTAGTTCTAAATTATACAAAACATGAAATCAAATGTTTTATACAAGAAACTTCAAAGAATTTACAGTTTATTATACAAAAAGATATTTAAGAAGTAGTAAAGTTAAACAACGGTTATATTAAAGGAAATTTACTTTATAAAGAACTACTTTATAAAGTTGTAGTTAATATGTATAAAGGTATTTTAAAACAGAATAAGATGTACCATTTATTTTAAACCGCTGTTTTTTTTTCATTGGTCTGAATTTACAATCTTAAAAAACATTAATACTGAAGAAGTTTAGAAAGTTTTTTGTTAATGTTGGTTAAAAAGTGTCTTGTTATAAAGTAGTAACTGGATATAATGGTAGATAATTTGTTTCTATGTTATTTGAATCAATTATTAGGTATTTAATATTAAAAATTAATTAATAGTTGGTTACAATTCAAAATCTAATGCATATATCACTATTTATTTAAATAAAATCATCATTCTAGTTTAAGATGTTTTAAGACTAAGATAATGTATGGACGTGTAAAAATTAAAAGAGAATTTTTAGAGGATAGAAATTTGATAGAGAAAAATACAATTAAAAATTAAAAAAATGGTTCTATGTGATAAAAAATTAATAAATATAAATAAATTATGAAGATAAGATTAGATATTATTTTATGATTAAAAAAATGAAACATCAAAGATTGGTGATAAATTTGAAGATACTTATAAAATAAAAGAACTATGTAAAAATAAGAAACTTATATATTTTGAAGATAATAGAATAAAAGATATTTTAAAAATATCATTAAATGAAGTAAAAGTGTTATGGCTATAACTGAAACTATTATACTAAAATCTTATGTCAACTAATTTGACATAAGATTTTAGTGTTTTAACCCAAAACAATTACAATATTATTGGTTACTTAAATATATAAAGGAAAGTTTAAGGAATAAATGATGGTTAAGAAAGATTTTATTTTAGTAAGTTTACAAGCCAAATGGGGCATGATAAACACGTTTTTGAAATAAAACTTTAACAGTTTCAATATTAAATATATAAACAAAAATGAAAGATGCAGTAGTAGAAAATCAAAATGAGAATTACTTAAAGCTTTGTTTTTTGAATTATTTTAAATTCTTATTCATTTATAATAACACACCAACTAAAAATTATATAAAAACATGTTTTTAAATAAGATATACCGTTAAAAATTTTTAAAGTAGAAAAAATAAAATAGACAATTTATTTTAATATTTAGTATTTCTTACTTAGATTTAAAAAGTTCTTCGATTCTTTTTAATAATAAAGAAACAAATCTTTCACATAACTCTTTTAGTATTTTATACCATTAATTTATAACAATGTTTTCTAATTCTTTCATATTTTATTGGTTTTTATTGACCTTAATCTTTAAAAAATGTTACAGATTTTTAATAAGATTTATATCTGGACTTTGTGGTTGTCATTTTAAAATTTCTATTTCTTTTTTCAAAAAATTATTTTAAGATTTGTTCCTAAATCAGCAGAGGATTAGTAAATAGGTTTATTTAAATTATTTTATCATCCAAACATCCATCAGTGATATTACTGCTGTTTATATCTATCATCTCATTATCATCATATCTATCTTCTAAGTTATCCTTGATCATCTTAACTTCTATGGGTATAATAATTAATTTTTTATTTATAGTGTAAAAAATTTTTAAAACGTACTTGACTATAATTTTACTTATAGTGTATTACGATAATTTTTATCGTTATCTTGTTGAAAGATAAACTCATTACACGTGTTTAATTTTTTAATATATAAATTTAAAATTCTGTTTGAATTTTAGTGTACGACAAGACCTTTATGTTTCCCTTTATCACTTCTATATTCTCGACACTGTTGTATGAGAAACAGCTTTAAAATATTAAATTCCCTCCTATATATTAATAATAGGATTTAAACATTTTTAATCACACCTCTTACCCTTGAATATCTGATATAAATAATACTATTTAGACTGAATAGGTTTATTTTAATCTCATCAGACTATAAAACCTTCTTCAGTAATCTATAATATTCTTTTACAATCATAAATCATAGCAATATGTTCTTTAAGCTCAAAAGAAACTTTAAATGGTTTAAAAGCAACTTAATCATTATAATTTAATACATTTACAAATGTTTTTCGCGTTGCTATTTCTATAATAATACATAAACCTTTTTGCTAATTTTTAAATCTATTTTCTAATTTTAAATCCCTTTATTTTTAATAATATTGATTTAAAATTATTAAAACACCTTATATGACCAAAGTTTTTTTTTATTAAAATTGTTTCTCAAATTCTACCTTTCTTATTCTAAAAAAGATTGTTTTATTCATATTAAAATTCTTTATAATTTTTTAATTTTTTAATCTAGCTTCTTTCAATGTAGCCATCTGAGACACTTCAAAAAATCTTTACTAGCTATAAAACACCATGTAAATAAACTCTTAGACTTTAATTTAGTGTTAAACTTATTATTTTTATTGTTAAATTGTTATTTGTCTAATTTAGTATTAATTGATGGGTTTAAAATAATTTAAAAAATTAATGATAAATTTGATGTTTGAAAAAAAGGAGTGTCAGAATGTAGTTAATACAGTGTTATTTATTTTATTTTCTTTAGTATTATGTTTTATTATTGAAGGTATAATAAAAAACTGTAAAAAATTACTGTTGTAATATTTATTTTAAAATTTTTTGCTAAAAATACATTATTTATAAGTTTTAAATTATAAAAGGTTTCTTTATCATTTAATATAACATGAAAACTTTCAAAATGAGTAATTTTATATATATATTTATCGTAAACATATTACTGTTTATATGTGTTGTGATTAAAACTTTGAGATAATAAATTTACTATTTCCTTTTATATTTCAATTTTTTAAAATAAATATGAATATTTTTATATCATAAGTGATTATTTAAATAATAAATTAATTATATAAAAAATATGACTATTAGTTATATGCTTATATTGATGTGATAATATTTATCTATAATATTTTTGACATAAAAAGACACATTTGATCTCTTTTTAATTAGTTTTTTAAAAAAACTTATATTCTGATAATCATAAATAGTTTCATTAGCTATTATTTTTAAAAATTTAAGAACATAAATTAATATAACATAAAAACTAATTTTTTAATAATCTCGGTGTCAGTTTTATCCGCTTTAAAGGAATTCATTATAACATTCAAATTTAGATATTTTTTTTATAAAATTCAAAATGAATAATAGAAATAACAACGAAGATAATAAATTAGTTTATAATACCACACAAGGTAATATTCTAAGTTAAAACTGTTTTGTTAAAATTATTATTTATTTAAAGACATTGTGATTGTTTTTGTCAAATACAAAATAAAGTATGTTTTTCAACAAATATTACAGTGGTGGAAAATAAAAATGAGACTAACTTTAAGTTTTCTTTTAAAAGTTATTCTTATTAAATTTCATTTTAAATTGTCTTCTATTTATGTTGTAATATCTATTTATAAAAGAATTTATATACAATAATGCTTTTAAACAATATATGTTGTAAAAAAAATTTTAAGTGGAAAAAATAAATGAGACTTCTTTGAAAATTTTTCATTTTCCCTCTTAAAATAATTTAAAGT